TCGAAACTAAAAAATTTTATTCCTTGCATTATAAGAGCCATGGTGCAAAAATAAAATGAATTTGTAATTCATTATCAAACTTAACCTACCTTTGTAAAAACAAGGACATTTCATAATGTACCCCATCATTGGTTATTTGAAAAATATAATATTGGACTAGGTAAATTATTCAAAAATAATTTACGAATTCCGTCTTTAAAAATTTTTATTTCAAAAATTACGTTACATGCAAAAGCCACAAAATTTTAGTTAATTTTTAACTTTATATCATCTACTTAAAAACAAAAAAGTTTACAATATAAAGCTTGTCGAAAACTTATAAAACTTCGGTAGCTGTTGCATGGCAAGCACGTCATATTTAGTTTAAAAAACCGTTGCCGTGGGAATTAATAATTCAAGGTGCCTTATGATATTACTCAACGTAATGAACATAAAACGTTACTTTACCTGTATAACAATTTATTTTGACTTTTAACATTTAATCAGTATAGCCAACCCAATATGTTTTACTGAAGATATACTTAATTAAATACTCCACTTTATATTACTAAAATAAATGTCTAATGTACATGTAACAAACAATTAAATTATTAAAAATTAGAAAGAATCAATTTCTAAGTTGAGATCACTCAATAAAGTTAATTATCCCCTTTCTAAATTATCTTATATAATTTTCTTTAGAATTGGATAGGATTAATTCACATTATGAAGGGTATAGTATCCAAGCTTTCCCTCCAAATTTTGCCCTTGAATAATTTCGAATAGTATAATCTAATATGAATATGCCAGAAAATTTTTGATTTGTTATAAGAAAATTATTTATTTATATAATTATTACTTAATAATTTTCTTATAGACGATCAACATGGATTTCGTTCTGGACGATCAACAATAACTAACTTAGCTATCTTCAAACAGGATATCTCAGATTCATTTTCCTTAAAAACCAACAGATGTTATCTATTTTGATTTCAATAAAGCATTTGATCAAATCGATCACAGCTTATTGATTTTCAAATTAAAGACCATTTATGGCTTTAATGATCCTCTCTTATCATGATTCACATCCTTTCATCTAAAAGACAACAAATCGTTAAATACAAAAATTTTCTCTCAATACCCATTAATATTTCCTCTGGAATACCTCAAGGCGATCATATTTCACCTTTATTATTCTTATTATTCATTAACGACATATCTTTAGTTCTAAAACACTAAAAAATATTGCTTCTCTCAGACGACGCTAAGATTTATACAACTATTTCATCAATAAATGATGCCTTAAAACTTCAATCAGATTTAAACAACTTTTGCGATTGGTGTTTAAAGAATGTATGAACTGAATTAAGATAAGTGTTCTATAATCACCTTTACATAAAAAAAAAATATTTTCACTTACAATTATAATTTAAATAATAATGATTTACAATGTGTATCTTTAAGTATCTTGTTCAATACTAAATTAAATTTTAATAACCACGTTAGTAAAATTAAAAACAAAGCTTCATCTAAACTTGGTTTTCTTAAACGCTGCTACTCAGACTTCAATAATCCGCTAGCATTAAAAAATATATTTTTTTCTTTAGTTAGATCTCAATTAGAATATGCTACCTTAATTTGGTCTCCCAACTCTATTACTCTAATTCAAAACCTGGAATCCATCCAAAACTCTTCTTTATCATTTCTCTCTTTCAAATATAAAGTGGAAAGAGCCCCACATGAGTTATAATGGAGTTCTAAAATTTTTTAGTATGACTTCCCTAAAAACCGTAGAAATTATCTTAACCTTAATTTTCTATTTAAATTACTCAATAATAAAATAGATTGTGGCCCGTTATTAGAGAAAATTAATTTTAAAACTAATCCAAAAAATACTAGAGAAAATAAATTATTTTATATAAAGAAAAACTATTAAAATTATTCAATAAATTCTCCAAAAAATATGCTTATGTCATTAGGTAATTCTGCCAATCTAGATTTTTTTTAATGTAGTATTAACGATATTCAACAAATTTGTGATATAATTTGATTTTATACTGCTACTTGCAACTAATATATTATGTTCTATTATATAAATTTATATTTTATATTCATATTATTGTTCATGTTATTTATAACTTCTATTGTACCAAAAACTTATATATGTACACAATTTTTTGTAAATGGAGTTTTTTATCTCCATAAATAAATAAATAATATAATTGGTTATCAGTGATCAAAATTAATATTTGTTTATTCATTTCTTAACTTCTTATAGCAAAACTTAGTTGGAGTCCAAGTCTAGAGAATAATGAATGAATTTGATAATTTCATTGTAAATAAGCAAAGTAAACAAGTAAACTCTTCTTAAAGTACATAAAATTTTATTATATAATATAACAAGGAAAAAACGCTTTTCTGGGAAAATTACTTAGAGTGCAATTTTCAAAATTTTTTTTTTTAACGAAAGTACTCGATCATCAGAAATTTTTTTTTTTTTTAAGTCCACGCGCATGGTTTTAATATGCACATTGACTCATTTCTGCTCATACGTTTATTCTGAACCTTAATTATATGGTGTAATATGTATTTTTATTAGGACACTATTTTGTATTTGCACATAGCACTATATTTTATCGAGAAATATTATATGTTACATATAAATTTTAAGACGGTTATAATTATATAAGTTTCTACTTTATCAGTTTATGTTTATCAGTTTATCAGAACAGACATAATTAATAATCTTTTTTTCTCATATATGATATATGAGTCTATTAGTTTATCGTTTATTTATTCATCTATGACAACTATGCTCTCCAACATTAAATCGCAGTTACCAATATTTTTATCAAAATTAAATTTTTTACATAGTCTCACGTATAATAACCAGCTAAATTTTTTTGTAATTATTCTATAATATAAACACTATTATTATAAATAGAATATTAATAATTTTTGTGTATACCAGGGGTGTATTTAATGGAGATATGGCCCCCCTTGAACCAGCGCTATTAATATTTTTTTAGGCAACTTCTAATAAATAAGGACCTAATGTCCTTTTTTTTCATCATTACTTTGATTTTAGCAAAAAAAATTCTATAAAATGTTTAACAAAGTAAAAAATATTAAATACCCCCCTTAAATAATTTTTGAATAAGCCTAAAGGGAATACCTTATTAACAAACGTCAACCTTATACCCAATACATTTTACTATATTCTCTTTTTGAATTTGATGATTTTAATAATAACATTTTTAATATATTTTTGTTACACTGATTCTGATGTAATAATTTTTCTACAAAACACTTATCGTAGCTGGTTACCCCTACCGGAATCAGTGGCCTACTTATGATGACGGCCCGAAGAGAGGCTTACGGCGGAGCCCCAGAGAGGCGGATCCTAGTATCTTATAAGAATATAATAGGTAATAAATAAAAATGGATAAATCAAAATGATAATTTTTTTATAAATATCTTATGATTTACCTTACATAAGATATATATATATATATTATTTTCAAGAATTCTTTCAGTTCTTAATATCAATTCAAAAAGTATAATAAGAGGGTTGCACTTACCCAAACACAAAGTTCTAGCTACTAATAACTCATAATAAATTACAATTTCTATTTCATATTTAAAATAATAATTATCGATAGACAAAAAAAATTACAAAAACTATCAAGCTATAAGCACCATTAATTTGAAAAATGTATCTTATTCCTTTAAAAAAAGGAAATGTCCCAAAAAATTACAATCTTTAGAAAATGTCAATACTGATTATTTTAGTTATCAATTTATATTTAATAGAATTTTATGACAACAAGACGGATTATTGTAACATTTTTAATATTAGTACTTTTTTAGATATTTTCCTTGTCGATGACATACTTTTTTTTAAAAATCTAATCATTGAACAAAGTACTATGTAGAGTAAAGTCAGATCAAAATTTTTAATTTTCAATTTTTGATAAAAATTATTTTAAAATACTTGACTTTTCTAAGCTTACTTAAAATTAAAGCAAATACAATTCAGCATAATATAAAAAAAACCCAGCACAGGGGGGTCGCGGCACAGTAGTGACGTGGCATAGATGGATCAAGTATAATGATATCTGACAGTGATTAAAATCACTATCAAAAAAAACGCTTCGATGCAAATCTTTAGATAGTGTTTAATTTTAAAAAATTGGTGGATTAATCCAAAAGCTACATGATCTGCTAGTTCCTTATTAATATCCTGATTAAGATAAATTATGTCGAATGAAAAAGGGATATAAATATTATTTCTCATAAAAAAATTATGTTGATCCATACACTTTTCAATAAGTTATAGCATTATAAAATTAAAAATGTAAATAATAAAAAATCGAGAATTTTCACACAATAATAGTATTTGGTAGCCATTTTCACCATGAAAACAAGTCCAGAGGTCAAATTTTTTTTTTTTTAATTAAAGTACATTACATAAGCTTTAATTTAAAATATATATAAAAGTGTCAGACTTTCCGGAACACTTTCAAAATTTAGGTTGAAAAAGTAAATTTTTTGTGAAAAAGTTGTCATTTTATATCCCCCCCTGTGGGCAGGTTAATTGTCAGATTTACAAAAAAAATACACCAATTGATAGGTAAGACATCAAGCATTTATAAAAAAAAAATTATATTGATTTGGTTATTTTTAAAAAAGTTATGGCAATTTTAAGTAAAAAAAATTTCGAAAATTAGCGCTTTTTAAATGAGGCCTTCAAAAATAAAAATAATTTTAAAAAATGTTTCACTGCAGAAATTTTAATCACTATCAAATATCTATGAATTATAATATAAAAAAATGTTTTAGCACCACTACACTAGAATCTTATTGAATTTTTTAGTTTCTTTGGAAATAATTTTTTTTAAGCCAGTAAAACAAAAAAATTATTTTAAAATATTATTTTCATTAATTAAATTTATTATTCTCTCACTGTTATCATTAATAATTTTTTCCACAAAAAATTTATTTTAAATAAAATTTCTTACCACTCATGTAATGGTTGGAGTACCTATTTTGTTGTTGTTGAAAAAGTAAAGAAGAACCAATAGTTGGAGTGACAGTAACACAAGTAGTTGTACTACTTGAAGTTTGATTAAGTTGTGTTGAATTATCTATTAGCAATAACAATAACATATAAGATAAATAAAAATGTATTTTTACTCTTATATAAAAAAAGAGGGATTTATTTAAGCTATCTAAAAAGAATATGATAGATCACAATAGAATCATAGGTATATCAGGTTAAACTTTTTTTTTAATTATATATATTTTTATACATAAAAAAAAAAAAAATTAGGCTGAGAAAAAAATTAATTTAGCCCCATAAGAAAATAAATCATAAATGTACACCTATATATAGGATATAATGGGAAGATTTTTTTGAAGTATTATGATCATATTATAAGAATCTGTGAATTATTATTGGGTAAATTTAACTAATTGAGCTCTTAGATTATTAAAAATAATTTTATACAATATTAGATTGTTCACCTTATTTAAAAAAATTTTAACTTAGATCAAATACTGGTTTTCAAAAAAAATGTCCAAGCATTATTTATATACTTAAGTTTTAAAAGGTTTTAACCATTTTGTTTCAATATGTATATTTTAACTTATGAGATAATGAAAAATGATCAAATCAATATAAAATTTGATATTTAATTCTTAAAAATTTATTTACGATGCAAAAAATTAAAGAATGATGATACTAACCATTATCAGAGATCGTGTGAGATTGAGCCATAGGACTATCTAAAAATAGAATTCCTTTTTGAATTAATTCATCTCGATTTGCTCTAATTGAGATTTTTCTTTCTAAATCTGAAAAAAGCAATTTAATAAACAAATAAAAAGTGATACTATTCTTTTCACTACAAGCTGATGCGTAATCCAATAATAGCACAGACGCACAAGTTTAATAACATATAGTTTACACAATCGTTCAAAAATGCAAAAGAGTATAAATATAATTCATATTGTAAATTACACTACAGATAAAGTATAGTTTCACAATTGTGAAAAGAAAATGATACACACTCAAGTCGTAAACCAGTTAGATTAGCGTTGGAAATGCATTATGGACGCATTATAAGTAATACATATTCGGCGGCGGCCTTGTCAGGGTGTCAAGGGCGGGAAGACACCTGATGAGAGTCGATTGTCCTATTAATAGGTGGACGGCTGATATCAAGAGAGATGCGGGTGAGCGCCAGCCTAGAGCGTAGCGCGGTGCTGTATCAAAGCAAATCGTTGAATTATGAACTTAAGTTGTTCTAACTATGATACAATATTTTGAAATATTAAATTTGATGCATTTATAAGTCATGATTATCAATATAATGATATTTTATCAATATGTAAATCATGTGAATATTATTTATAATTACAATATGAATCTAGGTTAAAAACTACGTATAAAATAGTTTATTATATTTTTGTAATCAAAAATAAATTGTATTCATTATTAAAAATAAATAATATATTAATTTTACTATTAAAAAAATTTTTTTTTCATTTAAGTATCATTTTTATGATAAAGATTTTTTAAAATAACTATTATCATATGATATAATAAAATAATGTCAACATACTGAATATTGTAAAATTAACATAATGAATAAAACAAATAAATATAAACAAAATAAAATAAAACAAATATTACTTCTTGATGTAGTTTCAAATTTTTCAGATTTTTTTTTCCTCTTCCATTTCCATGGTTTAAAAAGTTTACCTAAAGCTGAAAACTTGCTTGGTTGCTTACGATCTAATTGAAGAGGACTGGTACGCGTTCCAGACCCTAAACTATTAGTTCTAAGAGCTGTACCATTTTGTTTCTTAGCTAAAATTAAAAAAAAAAATTGGTACTATATTAACTAATGAAAATTAATACTAAACAGCCACATAAAAAATTCTAAAGTTTGGACTTTTTGACAAATAGCAGAACAAAATTATAATTATTTTTACACCAAAAAAATATTGTTTTGATTACACATAAAAGTCAAATCGTTGAGACAAACTTTTTTTGTTCAATTTTAACGGTCATTTGCACATAGAAGATAGGTCGTCGGGACAAATTTTTTTTTTTTAAATTATAGTACATAATGTAAGATTTAATTTAATATATGTTAAAAGAACACAGTATTTCCAAAACATTTCCTAAAGTTAATCTGAAAAAGTTCTACTTTTTATTCATATGTTCCAAGTATTGAACGCCCCAGTATAAAGAGAAATTGCCCGATTAAAAAAAAAAGTATTTCCAATGAAATGGGTATATATAATGTATTTAGAAACAAAAATTTGTGTTGATCTATAGATTTTTCAAAAAGTTAAAACAATTAAAAATTTAAAATTTAAAATCAAAAATCTTTTTATTGTACTAAATTCAAATATGATGAAATTATAAGAAATTTTACAACATTTTAAAGTACTAACAACCTACATATCATTTAAAAAATAATAATGTTAATAAATTATCAATGGAATGTTTAATTGTATTAAATTAGTTAAATACATGTTTTTTTAATATAATTAAATATTTAAAAATAATAAATGTTGTATGGGTATATTTTTAAAAAAAAAATTTCCGGAAAGTTAGCTGACATGTCAAAATGGAAATTAGAATCCTTTAGGCAGCTATTTGACCTAACTAAGTCAAAATAAAACGCCAAGGATAAATTTCAAGTGACTTCTAGTGTTATATTAGTACATCACTAAAAAATGTAATTCAATTAAAGGATCAGTTGTTTTTCATTAATACTTTCACATTTTATAGCAGCAGGTTTTAAAACAAGGTTTGTTAATCAAGGTGACAAGACATTAAGACATTAACTCAATCTAATGATATTTATAAGGAGTATAATACAGTGTCTATTGACTTAGATAAAAAACAGTTACATTTATTACAATTGAATTATTAATAAAATCCAAAACTATTTTATTTTATAGAAGTAATTAATTAAAATATGAAATAAAACCAAAAATGTTTTCAACTTATTATAATACTTAAATTACACTATTTCCTAAAAATTATTATGAAGTCAACTATATGAATGAGAAAAATTAATACATTATAATAATTACAAAAAAATATGCTATATCAACCGCTGTTGATTAAATGAAATATCAAGTAACTTAACTTTAATTTATATCAGAAACCTTTTTCCAGCAATTTATAGGATCTTTAAAGGAGTAATAACCAATTTTATTTTGATTTACTAATTATATCAAAAGTATACTTTATGATTGCATTTTTAAATTAATATATTGATGATTTTATTTATTATTTTTATGACATGTAATATAATATTACTCATATTATTTTACTTAATGCTATTAAGTAATAAATTAATATTAAGACTTTGATGTATTTTAACTACATTATCATTAATAAATAAGAAATTATTTGCCAAAACCACAATACTATTAAAAGAAATACCATAAATCAGGATTTAATTCTAGTATGAACAAATATCATTTTGATTTTATATTCTTACCAATTATATATTTGCCAGTTGTAGGTGATGTAGGTGTAGTAGTTGTTCCACTGGTATGTAAAAAGTCTGTGAGTGACAAGGATGAAGCAATGATTTGCCTCTTTTCTTCAAAATTTAAATAGTCCATACTATTGCTTCTTGGTTGTTGTTGCTGATTTACTTGTTGACCACCATTAGCTTCTACCATTTCTGAAGATGGAGATGTTGGCTTATCACTGTTTGCGGGTAAACACCCGCTAGACAATCGAACCGACATAACTTTATGGACACATATTAATGAATTCACAACCTCATTTATAAAGAACAAAAATTAACAAAATAAAAAACAAACGAATTACAATGACTAAAGAAAAAACACTTGGGAAGCACTGTTACTTAGAGGACCAAGCAAAAAAGTCCACTTAATTGATCAAGAAGGCACCAAGTTCCATTGACGTTTTTTGATACTATTAACAATTGATGTATGGAATTTGGCAATGCCGTTAACGATAACTGTAGTAAGCATTATAAACAAACGTTAAACGACATTTATAGGAGAAAATTTGCTTTAGAAATCTTATGCCGCTTCACACCTACAACAAAATACTCCAAACACGGACAATCAACTTTAAAAAAACACAATATAATCACAACTGTGATCTGTTTAACCAATATGAAATTATTATTATAAAATATCTAGATAAATTGGTCACTGCAAAAAAAAAATAAACGAGATTCAATCGGAAAGAGGGGAAGTGTGTATTGGAATTTCGGAATTTTCCATAGATAAAGAGATTAAATTCAATGTTACAGAGGAGTGGTACGTTTGTGAAGAGGAATTCAGTGCTGACACTTTCATAAAATCAAAAAATATTTGTAACCAACATCACTATCTTATAAGGCAGATAAGTGTTCCATAATAACTACATTAAGCCGTTGAAATATACCTTCGATTAATTTCAAATGTTATATTTATATAATCTATTATTTTACCATAAACTTTTTAAGTATTTAATTTGGTTTAGCGGGGATTAACTTTAAATATGATAAAAATATTAAAGTAAATTAAAACACTTAATAGTTTATGAGATATTAGTACAATAATTTTGAGTTATTATAAAATGTTACTATTTAAAGTTGAAAATACTGCCAAATATATATAAAAGAAGATTACTTTTTCAAAAAGCACTAGACTCGTAATCTTCTACGAGAAGAAAAATATTGGCTAAATAATAATTTTTATATAAAAGAAAGAATAATATTTAACATAATATCTAAACTATTTTTTATTAATTTTAGTAGTAAAATAATTGTAAATATATATTGTATAATATCAAATTGTTTTATGTAAATTTATGAGAAAATGGTTAACAACAAAATCGGATGTATTACCTACTTTTAGTGAATCAACATATGGTTTAATTTATTAATTTTAAGTTAAATGTTTGTGAGTTAAGGAACTACAATTTTTTAGTAAAAAATATATATTTTTAAAATAAATACAATAACATTAATTATATTTTAATTTTTATTAAAATTTGGAATTAGTTTTAGTATTTATGATATAAAAGATTTTTCAACCATTTATAAACAAATCAGATAGTATTAAAAGAAAAAAAAAATATTAATAAAAATTGTTTGGAAAATTCATTAGTAAACAAAAAATAATATAATAAAATTAATCAAATTTTATTCCTTGAGCTAAAGTTAATCTAGATCCACAATTTATAGTTATAGTCGATCTTCTCATATATTGTTTCCATGAGTCTGAACCAGATTCACGTCCACCTCCAGTATGTTTTTCTCCACCAAAAGCTCCACCTATTTCTGCACCATTTGTAGGTATATTTACATTAACAATACCGCAATCTGATCCTTTATGAGAAATCCACTATTTGTAATGGAACAGTACAAAATATAATTAAAGAAAAGTCAGATAAATAAGGATTTAGATATTAATTTTAGTTTTTCAGAATACTAGTCTTGGAATTTTTATAAAAAGTTTTATGGTATCGGATTTAAGAGTTAAATTGAATATAAATATTGTATTAGGTATTTTAGTTAATTTAGGTTTAAGGTTTTGCATTTAAATAATAACTTTATAAAATTTGAAATAACAGTTGTTAGAAAACTGCCATCCATATCATTTTTAAATTAAAAAACAAATGAAATAATGATTTTTAGAACCAAATTTGTCAACTATTTACTCTTTTTCACTATTTAGTAATACTTTGATTTCATTTGAGCAGTTAATACGAAAATCATCATTCTTTAATCAATTTGTTTTGCATTAAATATGAAATGTATACTTCATTTAATTGTAATGAAGTATATAATCTTAATCATATAAAGTATTTTTTTACAAATAAAACTTAAAAAAAATAAAATGTATCTTTCTACTATGTATCTATTGAGTAGATCAAACATTGTAATTTTGTTAAAATATAACTACATTTTTTATAAATTAAATTTAACACATAATAAATTAAATACTTACTTTATAAATAGTCTCAATATTATTTGTAAAAATACTTGAAGATAACCCTTGATCTACAGAATTATTCCATGCAATTGCTTCATCTAAATTTTTGTATTTTAAAATATAAACAATGGGAGCAAATGTTTCTCGACACACAACATGCGAATCGTGTTTCAGACCACTTATAATAGTTGGTTCAACAAAATATCCTGGTATATCTAAAACCTGAAATAATTAATCAAAATAAAAAGTTTTGTTATTACATTAATATTTTGATTAATTTTGTTTACTTTTCCTCCAAACTCAATTTTACCACCATTTAATGTAGCTTCAGATATAGTTTTCTTGAAATTTTCTATGCTGTTTATTGAATGTAAAGGTCCATACAAAGTATTTTTATCAAGGGGGTCCCCTAATCTTTTGATAACATTTGAGTAAGATATTATAAGATTATCTAAAACTTCATTATATATTGATTCATGTAAAATAAGCCGTCTTGTGGTAGTACATCTTTGGCCCGCTGTACCACAACAAGCAAAAACTATTGATTGAGCTACTGTATTAAGATCAGCATCAGGTGTTACAATTATAGCATTATTACCACCAAGTTCCAGTAGAACACGTCCAAAACGTTTTTGTACTTCAAGACCGACCTATAAAAAATAAAAATAATATTAAATTTATGTATATACTATATTGAACAACTTAAATTATATTCAATCTTTTATAAAATACTAAAGTTTAGATTAAATTTCAAATTATAAAATATTATAATGGATTAATAGGATTACTTTTTCGACGTAATTTATAACTATTTATTATCATTCTAAGTAGTGAATTGACACTATTTTTTATT